AATCAGAATCAGAGCTGGGAACTGGGCTCAAGTAAATGCAATAAATTCCTAGAGCTGAGGGAATACCTCTGGCCATAAAGTGTTGAGATTAGTGGGGGTAGGCAGAACTAAAGTGCAGGTACTTAGGGAAGATTGAGCCAGATCTCTGGTGAACTGCCTAATCAATGGCACAATGGAACATCCAAGTTTTTAAGTCCTTATGAAAGGTGGACAAAATAGGTGCTTGTCTGATCTCCTTAGGGAGGAAGTTCCAGAGCCAGGGAGCCACCACAAAGAAGGCCCTCTCCCTCGTCCCAGCCAACTGTGCTTGAGATGGTGGCGGAAGTGAGAGAAGAGCCTCTCCTGATGATATTAGGGTACGAGCTGGTTCGTAGGGGATGACGCGATCGCAAAGATAGGCAGGTCCTGAACCATTTAGGGCTTTGTAGTTTGATGTGTTCATTTTCTGTAACCTTTTCAGGCTTGTGATCCCACCAATTTTTTGTCACTGGCAGATGAGATTTGTGGCACAAGTTCCAGTGGATCATCAGAGCAATGGTATTATTCCTCTGCTTGTCATCTATTATTATTAGAGTTATCTGACACACTGGGTGGGTTGCATTTTCCTCAAGAAGTCTGTTGTATTATATTCCTCTTATAGTTTGGTGTATCAGACAGTGTGTCAAATGGTCCAACAGCAAGAGTTAAAATGCTTGAACCATCCATTGTTGAATTTTGTATTGTATGTATTTTGGGCAGTAGATAGAAAGTGCCTGGTCGGTGTTCCTGTGGTATGTCCATTCTGCACATTCATCGGGAAGTCTCTGTGTAGTTGATGGAGTACTTCTGTTGTTCATTAGTAGGATCTATAAATAGTTTTCTTCAAAATGTTGTGTTGGACAGTCTCAGCTTTCTGTAAGTAAGCAATCTTGTTCATAATAACCATGGCCCCTCCGTTGTCAGCCTCTTTAATGACAATATTGGAGTTGTTTCTGAGACTGCGGATAGCATTTTGTTCCATATCATTGAGAGGATGCGGTAAATTATATCTCTTCTTCAATATCTCATCTTGGACATGATGGCAAAGCCTTTATGCTATAGAAATTCAGTGGCTTGTTTCAACCAAAATCCATGTATTGATTTTATAGCACCCAGAAACAATGTTCTGTGTTTTAGATTAATGTCTATGGTTCTATTGTGAGACTGATGTGATGCTTGATCACTGTTCTCTTTGCTGACATTGCAGTCCCTGAAATATTCTGAATCATGGTCAGCAGTAGAAAGTCTCCAGATTACAACAAAACTATGTCATGTGTGTGGGTTTGGAGCAGCTAACCCACACACATGGCTTTATGAAAGAATAGACTCATCTGCCCAGCTCAGTTTGTGGCTCGTAGATTTACAAAATTATTGTCTGGGCTCAAAGTACTTCTGTTGTGGCCCACCATGGAGGTTTGTAGTAGGAAACATTCTTTTTCTTCAGAGAAAGAAACTGGATCATACAGAAGTTTTTTTTGTTGTTGTCCTGGAGAAATGTTGTCAAGTGCTGAATTGTGCAAGGAGCTGTTCTGTGTATATATAGTTCCAGATTTGGAATTTCCTTTTTGATCTTTTGTTCTTTGCTGTGCATAATGCTTTTGGGATTATTGAGTAGTTTCCTGGTGAGCTTGTTGCACAATTGGATGCACTGTAAAGTAGCTGTAGCTCAACTCCAACTTTTTAATCAGAAAACATGGCTTCACATTTAGAATATTTTTTATATATGCTGGGATATTGTGTACTCATATCTTGCTGTTTTGAGGAAAATTATATTAGAAAACAAGGTCAGAGATGCTCATTTTCATTTCCCACCGGAACTGCTGTATGTGTCTTTGCAAACATCCCAACCTATTCTCTCCTTTCGCTAAAAAACAAAACAAATCCAGATGTCCAACTTGATTATTTTTGCAGAATTGCTTGTTGAACAGTGTTCTGCACTTTTGTTGAGGTAAAAACAGTAAAACTGAAGAGTAATCGAAATGAATGCTTGTGTTGTTTTCATGTAGTTTCTGGATAATTCCTTTTCCACCTAAATATCCCCAAATCCCTTCAAGTTCTAGCACCCATGAAAAGGTGATTTTGTAGCAACAAACATGTGTTTGCTGAAAGGTGTATGCACCACAATGAGTTATTTCCAGTCCTTTCTTCCTAGTAAATGTATTTGTGTGGTATGTGCATATTTAAATTCCTGTTTAAAGTGTGATCATGACTAATTCAGTGTTTGAACTAGGAGCTGTGGTGGTGCAATGGGCTAAATCCTTGTGCCAGCTGAACTGCTGAACTGAAGGTCAGTGGTTCGAATCCCCGAGACAGGGTGAGCTGCCATTTATCAGCTTCCCATGTGGGGACATGAGAGAAGCCTCCCATAGGATGGTAACACATCCAGACATTCCCTGGGCAATGTCTCTGCAGATGACCAATTCTCTCATGCCAGAAGCGACTTGCAGTTTCTCACATTGCTTCTGAAATGATAAAAAAGTGTTTGAACTAGCCATCACTGTTTTGGAACTGAGTGATCCAATCCTTGACTACACATATGATTAAATATTCTGTTACTAATTTTTCCTTGAACAGATGCTTACTAAACTGCAAAATTTCTTTTTTAAACAGCATAAAGTCTATGACGCAATGTTATTTTTTGAGGGAAAGGCCATTGGAAATGTCTTCTGCCCTAGTACTTTGTTTTTTACAAAATAGAGGCATAAATTATGACTGTTAGTGAAACTTCACAGAGTAGATAGAAGCACAGTGAGAAACACCACACTAATTCAGAACATGAATATTTCAGTTTTGAGATTAGAACTGACTTGGTCCTTCTTTCTCATTACAAATGCCAGAAAGTTATCTAGTTGTGGCTATTTCAATGTAGGGTTTTTGTATTCATAGTGGTTTATACACTATTTGTATTCAGTGTATTTTTAACATAGTACAGGTAAAGATTTCCCCTGACATTAAGTCTAGTCATGTTCAACTCTGGGGGGTGGTGCTTATCTCTATTTCTAAGCCGAAGAGCCAGCATTGTTCCTAGACACCTCCAAGGTCATGTGGCTAGCATGACTGCATGGAGCACCGTTACCTTCCCACCGGAACAGTACCTATTGATCTACTCACATTTGCATGTTTTTGAACTGCTAGGTTGGCTTAAGTTGGGTCTAACAGCAGGAGCTCACCCTGCTCCCCAGATTCGAACTGCCAACCTTTTGATCAGCAAGTTCAGCAGCTCAGTGGTTCAACCCGCTTCATCATCATATCATAGTAACATATCAGGATCTTTATCATTGTACTTTGTTTCCAAAAGATATCTAGACCATTCCATTTTAATGCTCACTCTTGTGCAACATGGTACCATGTGTCATCCTCTATAATAACCTGCCACGTTTCTTGACATTACTATTGGCAAACATGGTCTACATTTGCACTATCCTCTTGTGAATACAGGTGGCCAATTTCTGCAGCTGTTCTCACAGTGTGTCATTGACAATATTCATCTCCGTTTTTGCAGCTGTGTTGGAGTTGTCACTTTGAGAAAAAAACCAAGTACTTCTTCTTAAGGTTGTTAAAATATTCCCTTAGCAGAATTGATGTAATTGGATTTTTCCCCCCTGTCACTGCAGTTTGAAACATTTGCAAAACTATGATCTGCAGTTTGGAGTGGAGAAGGGAATGTGTATGACTAAATTTTGGCTTAAGTAGTTAAAATCTAAAATGTTGTTTCTTCCACCACACACATAAGACACATTGTAAGAGGAGTCATTAAAACTAAAATTGTCACCCAAATCACTTTGATGTTCCATTATAGAAATGCTGACTATTGATAATAAAAAAAATATCCCAGAATAATCTATCATGACTTTTAAAGTTTTTTGCAGTTGTTGTGCCATACATTCTGTTTCTTCTACAGAATTACAGGAAAAGACTATGAATGTGTTAGGTTTCTGCTTTTCTACACATTTTTAGAATTTCCTGTCCACAGAGAATTAGAAGTGGTAGTATCTGGTTCCAGAAGCATCTCTAAAACCATGTCTACTTTCCAGTTCCACCAAATTATATAATATTTCAAGTGCCTGCAGAACTGATATTTACTTAAGTATTCGTGCCTTGATAAGAGTATTAGAAGAATAAAGTAATGTTGAGTTGGGTTGTTGTAGGTTTTTTCGGGCTATATGGCCATGTTCTAAAGGCATTTTCTCCTGACGTTTCGCCTGCATCTATGGCAAGCATCCTCAGAGGTAGTGAGGTCTGTTGGAACTAGGAAAAAGGAATGACCAGGGTGGGACAAAGGACTCTTGTTTTCTGGAGCTAGGTGTGAATGTTTCAACTCATCACCTTGATTAGCATTTGATTGCCTGGCAGTGCCTGGAGCAATCTTTTGTTGAGAGGTAATTAGATGTCCCTGTTTGTTTCCTCTCTGTTGTTGTGCTGTTCTAATTTTAGAGTTTTTTTTAATGCTGGTAGCCAGATTTTGTTCATTTTCATGGTCTCGTCCTTTCTGTTGAAATTGTCCACATGCTTGTGAATTTCAGTGCCTTCTCTGTGTAGTCTGACATGGTGGTTGTTGGAGTGGTCCAGCATTTCTGTGTTCTCAAATAATATGCTGTGTCCAGGTTGGTTCATCAGGTGCTTTGCTATGGCTGACTTCTCTGGTTGAAGTAGTCTGCAGTGCCTTTCATGTTCCTTGATTCGTGTTTGGTGCGTTTAGTGTTCCCTATGTAGACTTGTCCACAGCTGCATGGTACACGGTAGACTCCTGCAGAAGTGAGAGGATCCCTCTTGTCCTTTGCTGAACGTAGCATTTGTTGGATTTTCTTGGTGGGTCTGTAGATAGTTTGTATGTTGTGTTTCCTCATCAGCTTCCCTATGTGGTCAGTGGTTCCCTTGATGTATGGCAAGAACACTCAACAATGTTGAGGTGCTCCTTAGATTACTTGAAAACTTTTATCTGTTCCATCACATATGTCCACCTTTGTTTTTTGTCTTTCCAGGTGGCAGCACATGTCCAAAGATCCTAACTCCACTCTGCTCAGCAAACAGCACAGCTAGGCTATATGAGCCAGGCATTGGCTATGAAGTGGCACAGGGGATAAATGGAAACTTGCCAGTTAAGCACTCCCCACGGCCAACTTCACATCCAAAACCACAAGGTGAGTCACAACTCTGTTCTGCACCTACCTCTGAACCTCAAGCTATGGCTTGAATCAAATACGGTATATTTTGCACTTCAAATGATACTATGGATAAATAAAATATAACTGCTCATCTTGGAATATTTGAAGATAAGCACATACTAGCATGAAATATTTAATACACTGTATTAGAAATAGAAAGTGTTGAGATAGTATTGGTGTTTGGCTTCTCCATAGCAGGGCTTTTTATAAACTTTTCAATTTGCGACCAATTTCCACCTGAGAAATTTTCCCGTGACCCCACGTATATAGGTCTGTAAAAGAGAAATAAAAATCAAACATTTACTGATAATAAATCAGCACTTGCAAGGCTTGCTAAACAGCACTTGCAAGGCTAGCTGATTTTCCTTTTTGCAGATTCCACTGGAAACACTGCATTTTGTTGCAGTGGTGTAAATGAATGGCATTCAGAAATCTTTTACTGTTGCCAGTTCTTCCATCAAGGTAAGGGGACCCCATTTGGGGTTGAGACCCACAGTTTAGGGAGCACTGCTCTATAATACTTAAAACTAAATTTTTCTAATGTGTTCCAATTGGAAATGTATAGCAAATTTAGAATTTAGAATCTTACCTTTCCGACCTTGGAGGCAGTTCTAGAATATGGTGTCTCTACCTTTTAGTTCCTGAAATAGGAGCCCCCGGTGGTGCAGTGGGTTAAACCCTTGTGCCGGCAGGACTGAAGACTGACAGGTCTGCGTGTCGAATCCAGGGAGAGCATGGATGAGCTCCCTCTGTCAGCTCCAGCTCCACATGCAGAGACATGAGCGAAGCCTCCCACAAGGATGGTAAAACATCAAAACATCTGGGTGTCCCTTGGGTAACGTCCTTGCGGTCAGCCAATTCTCTCACACCAGAAGCAACTTGCAGTTTCTCAAGTCGCTCCTGACACACACAAAAAAGGTCCTGAGATGAAAATATTGCTCTTAAGATACAAGAATTCTAAGAGAAACAGAAAGTGTTTTTCAGATATGTTTCTGTGACTGTCATTCAGTATAATTTATGGAACGGTTTACAAGTAGAGTGAAGATAGTAATATTGTGAACGGAAAACCTTTTGTCTTTCTCATCTGGGTCCTTTTTATTTCAGTTTGTTCAGTCAAATTTAAGTGTTTTTCCATGAAAAACCTAATAAATACAGTAAGGCCCCTATAACCTTGGAACCCATATATGTAATTTCACTTCTTGTCCATACCATAGGCGAGGCTCTGGTATGCTTCTCCTAGAAGTTGCCATAGGATTGTGTTGAAGAACCTAACACCATCCTAGAGATGATACCACTCTAGGAATATCTTGCTTCTTGTATGCTAGGACCAGAGGTCAGGCAATTTAATGGCAATCAGCAATATCCTAGTTTCTAGGTAACTGCAGTTCACCTAGGAAATGGGGTATGTCTTCCTGTACGTATGCACTGTTTGAGACAGCTGTATGCAGTACTTATAATCTGAAGTAAAGCTTAGAACAGGTTCATCAAGATTCAGTGGAATTGCTGGTTTTATGACAATATGACAGCTAACCCACACTTATTTGGATTAGGTTTCTTTTTCTTTTTCTCTGGATTGCAGGGTGGCAGAAGAAATACATGGCATAAAGACAAATCTGCCATTCTGTCCTTTAGTGATGATGTGTGTGAGTGGGACGAATTTCCATTGGCAGTACTCCTCATACCTTGTCAGCAGAGCAGAATGTGATATTTGGTTTTTATAAATGCCAAGCCTATTTTACCTTTTAATCAAGCAATACAAGCTGCTTCAGAAACAGATTTCAGAACAGAAGCTTTAAAAAATAACATGTTAGAAGTAGATAGTTACATCTGTTTATTACGCAAGTGTACCTACCAAAGGATGTTAGCTCATTGAAACCTTTTCCTGCTTCTTTATTTTATTAATTCAAGTTTTTAAAGATTGCTTCTCTGCTCTAATATAGCCCTGGGATGATTTTCCAGCAAGCCATTCCTTTAAAAATCACATAATATGCAATCAATAAGCATATCAGCTAGCAGGCTTGAACCCAATGTACAGAACTGTTGGCATCCAAATGGAAACTCTGCTTTAAACTAAGAAAGTGAAATCTCTCTTTTTAGAGAGAGCATGCTATGAGTGGGATTCATCCATAGAAAAGACTCTGTTCTTTGTCACCATCAACCTATCTTTTGCCTAGACATGCAAGAACTCCTCGATAGAAGAGAGGTGACCTCTCAAGCATTTTGCCCGCAAATTGGGGATTTCCATTATATGGTTCCAGGAACTAAACTGGAAAGATGATGATGATGATGATGATGATGATGATGATGATGATGATGATTGACTGAGTTCAAGATGGCCCTTCCTATCCACATGCTGTACATTGACAGATGCAACCATTCACAATTTGAAAATAATTCACCTCCCTTCTAAAAAAAAATGAAAGCTTAGATTTTTCAATTTTATATAAGTGACACAATTTTACTTCACCATTGTACATAATGGACCTTGAACATCCACACATTTTGATATCCTGGAACCCAGCTCCAGTAGATACCAAAGGCTCACTGTTCTCTGAGTTGACATTCATCATGCCATTCTCTATTAGAGAACAGGTGTCACAGCCAGGTATTTTCCCTATATTTTGATCAGTTTGATCATTCACTCCTGTTATCACTGTCAGTTTTAGGAGCCCCCGGTGGTGCAGTGGGTTAAACCCCTGTGCCGGCAGGACTGAAGACCGACAGGTCGCAGGTTTGAATCCGGGGAGAGGCGGATGAGCTCCCTCTATCAGCTCCAGCTCCTCATGCGGGGACATGAGAGAAGCCTCCCACAAGGATGATAAAACATCAATATCATCCAGGCGTCCCCTGGGCAACGTCCTTGCAGACGGCCAATTCTCTCACACCAGGAGTCACTCCTGACACGACAAAAAAAAAACTGTCAGTTTTGATAAGGCCAACTGGCTAATCAATTGTTTGATCCCTCCTGCTATCAAAATCTAACATGCTTGCACCAGGTTCCTCTTCTGCAAACATATCTGTTTCATCTCAGTGTCAAACTGTGGACTTGATGGAAAGAGAGAGCTCAGAGCTGTGACTCCTGAAAAGACAGAATTATAACACCTGGCTTTTTAAAGATGTGGTGTCTTTGTGAAGGTCCATCTGAGTCATCTTCTTTCTAACATAAGGTACATTCAAAAGAGTGACTTGTGGAGAAATGTGGAGTCAATTCCTCTTTGATAATTCTTCAATTCTTACATCCCAAAAGTTTTGCATTTTAAAATATTTAAGCCTAAATACCAGAAAGACACTAGATCCAAAGTGTTAACCAAAACCCTAGTTAATAGTAGGATAGGAGACTGCCCCCAAATCTCAGGCACTGTAGGCTATATTTCAGAGGAAGGAACTGGCAAAACTAGCTCTGAATTTCCTTGCCCAAGAAAACCCTATGAAATTGAGGGGTCACCATACATCAGTAGTCAACTTGAAGGCATGCAGCACAAGTGGAAGGCATCCTTTTTATTTTTATTCAAGAGAAAGTATGCTTCTGTTACCAACTTTGGGGCTAGGAGCTAAATGGGTGAATTTACTTTATTCAAAAGTGTTTTGTAATGTATGATCTGTGAAAGACTGTTGTGGTTGTTGTAGCTGCCGTATTGAATGACTTCATGATAGAAATGAGTAGCATTATTACTCTTGGTGTGAAGAGAAGAACTTTCCTCTATATCTTATAATGTTCGGCATCAATAACATAAAAAACTAGGTGTACTAAAATTCAGGACTATATTTACTTTTACTAGAGTCATTCCATAGCGTGGTGCATTTTCTCGGTTAGAGTCTTTCTTGTGTTGTAGTTGAGAAACTAAAATGATCATATCACCTGCTACAGTCTCATTTGAATGCCTTTAAACTCTTCCTTACTCGCCCCATATTATATGATTACCAGGACTTCAGCATTAGGTCAGTTCTCATTAACATCACCACTATGTTACATAACATTTTTCTTGATCAGGACTTTTTGCACATTTTCAAATCTTGCCCTTTGTTGGGCATTTTAAAGGTGCAAATATGGGGTTTTGGATTTTTCCTTATGGCCAACACAGTAAATTGTTTTAACGGAATCAAGAAGAATACAGATATAGACAGAAAGTATAGATATGGATAGAAAGACCCTTGTTTTGTTTCCTTGAAATTAGTATTTATATTCCTCTGAATAAAGCCTGTTTGGAGAAATTGTATTAATTATGTAGAAAACACATTATCGACTGGAGTTGAAATTAGTGTGTAGTGTGACCAGTTCTCTCATAATTCACATTATTCTTGTTGAAATGTGGTAAAAGATGCATATAATTTCAGGTGGTACTTAGAATTTTGAACACAATTTGGTGAGCTAGAAAATGAGATTGCAGACTTATTATTTGTTGCTTCTTAGCGCTAAATTTTTCTCTAGCCTACAGATCAAAGAAAAGTTAGAATGTTTCCTTTCATTCTTCTTTCTGGCCATATGTTCAAGGATCTGTCTTTAATGGAGTGGAAAATTTTCAGTCTGTCTCCTACTTGAGGTTTGTGCTGGCAGATAACAAAGGACTCTGACCTGATTTTTCAGAGTGCTATTTGGTGCTTGGTTTCTTTCTGAAAAGCAGCTTAAATCTCTGGAAACCAATTGCACTATTATATGCCATTCGTGAGACCCAGCATGGGAGAGTAAATCCCTGAAAAAAGAATCAGCTCCAGCATTCAGTCTTTTTCATATTTATTTTCCATATTGTTTGTCACTTAAAGCAACAAATCCAACAGATTTGAACTGAAAAGAGTGAGTAATAACTAGCTGGAGGCTCTAATAAACAAGGCAATTAGAAATTGAGAAGTTGGGAGTAAATTTCCTCATGATTTAACCATTTCAGTGAGTGCAGTTTAAATTCTAATCTGACAAAATAAATGTTTCCTCTCTCTTCTTTTCTGCTCCTTCCTGTAATGTCCAAAGTCCCTCTCCAAAG